TGATAATGTATTATCCATTAAAAATATTAAAAGAATTATTTAAAACCTCTGACTAACTGATTTTGCTAATTTTATAAGCATTTTCCGGACAATTATTTGGGCCTTCTAAGACTTTTTTTTTTTTGAATAAGTCAGTGGGGCTTTCAAGCCATTTTTATCCTCTTCTAAGTTCTCTTTTCACCTACTCACCTACCATATTTGCATGTGGTTCCTAAGTTTCTCTACCAAACTTTTGTCTACCCTATGACTTGAAACTTAATATTTCTCAATTTTCTTTGAAGTATCTCGAATTTTGACTAAATTCCCTAAGTTTTTGCCCAAATCCTTACATAGAAACTTGTTTCACTCTCTATTCTATTTGCTTTTGCAACCCATTCTCTAACTGATTTTGCCCTAACGTTTTGCTTTTCTGCCTCTCCCTCTAGCATATATTGTGTTAAATTAGAAGTCTTAATCTACTTCTTTTAAGCTCAAAAACTGCATTACTATAATAAAAGAAAAAAGAAAAATTTCGTATAGAACCTTAATTCATCGTATTATTTCATGATAGACTCTCATTCTGTTTATCTTTCAAGTGGAATAAAAAAACCCTAAAGATTTCATCATACCTCATCATCTCTTATATCCATTTTTTATTAACTTTTGATCGTAAAAATTACTCCCAACAAATCTTTTTATACAATTTCAACCCAAAAACTTTTTAATGGGTGGAAAGGGAAAAGAGGGTTAAAAATGATTTTGGTATGAAATGGTATAAAAAGATTTGTTGAAGCTAATTTTTATGGTCAAAAGTCAATAAAAGATGGAGTTAAGAGGGTATATCATGAAATAATATGAGAATTTATGGTTCTATACAAAATTTTTCCAAAAAAAAAATCATAAACCTTTGCTTTTGAGCCAAACAAAAGTGATAACCAAAGTTACAAAATTTAAATCTTGGTTTTGCTTTTTTCTTTTCTTTTTCTTTGTTTTTTCTTTTTTGCTTTTGTTACTTATTTTTCCTTACGTGTTTTTTTGGTTTTTTATTTTTTTTTAATTCTCTGAATTGTAAATAATTATTTTTAAAGGTGGTTTGATGGATTCAGCAGCTAGTCCTACGAGTTTCAACTGTATCAGATCCCTCACCGGTTCAATAGTTAATCCCATCACTTAACCAACAAACCCAAGATTATCATCAAAAAGCAAAGACAGCGCCCATTTGTCACTACAAATGAAGGTGAATTTGCATTTTTTTGTAATACAGATGGTTGGATTTTCCTTTCTTTCCTGTTTTTTGGTTGGATTTTCCTTTCTTTTCTTTTCTTTCTTTCTGGTAAATAAGTGAGAGCTCATATGAGATATTCATAGTTGAATCATAAACAAAATAGGTAAGACTTGCTATCAAATGTGCGTCCTTTTTTATCTAATGTCCTCGCTATATGGAACCCATGTCACTCAAGAGGGCCATTTAAAAGGAATCCAAAGCCACTATTCGCACTATTCGCCCAATAAAAAATATCATTTAATTAGTACACTATCATTTCCTCTTGGCAAGGGCCACATGCCCAACATGCACTTATAACGGGCACACTCGCTCTTGGGTCCAGGTCTTATCGTAATTTTCTGATCCAGGTCTGGGTCTGGGTCCAGTCGGACCTGAACCTGGACCCAGGATGCCATTCTTAATCATCCAATTCACTTATCTTAGAACCCTTTGGTTGGATTGCTTGCAAAAATGCTTGAGTATATAGAAATCCTTTTGTTTTTTTAATGAAAGCCCCAATCTTATATTCTCAATGTTTCGTCCTCATTTCTTCACAAAAAATCAGGAAATTATTATCAAAAAATTGAGTTTCTTATATTCTCAATGTTTCGTCCTCATTTCTTCACTAAAAATCAGGAAATTATTATCAAAAAATTGAGTTTCTGGGCCCTCTTTCTATCAATACAACTATCATTCAAAAACAACATAAAAGAATTGAGAGTCCAAATTTCGGGAGCGTTTTGAATCTAAAGTTGTAAATCTTCAATTTCTCTCTTATTGCTCCCCATATCATGTGAAATTTGTCTCACATTGATCTACGATAGCCCTAACAAATTTTTTGAATCGAAGTAGAAATTTGCTGAGATCGACTTTCGATTTTTTCCCACCATTTTCTTTGATTCTCCTCTGGTTTTTTTCCTAATTTCTCTCAAGAAAACATGATTTGGATATTTTTCAGATACTCTATAAGATGAAAATCATTTTTTTGGTTCAATGTTCCTATTTGATGAAAACAGAAAGATGAAAAATTGGGGGAATTTTTTCACTTAGAGCTAGTTTTTTAATCTCATTTAGAAGTATATTTGTTTGAACTAAAACTATTTTTTGAAAGTCATTTTTTGCTTTTGAGCTCATTTTTTTTCTTTTTTATGGGCATGAAACATTTAGAAATATAAGAACCTCTACGTGAATTTTAATTATGATATCTCTTTGCCAATTATATTGGCAGTGTGGGTAGGTTCTTAGATAGGAATATGCTTCAATCTGAAAGACATACGTGGTGGCATCTGAGTCCTTACAATATTTGCATCAACGGTAAAATATATTCTTCAATCACATAAGCCATAGGCTTTTGCTTCTTTTCAAAGCTCGCAGAAAACTGCGCATGAGTCTACAAGTCCGTGGCCAGTAGGCAGACAATATTTATTTGTCCATACCTTCCAATTCTCTGAAAAATTAGAACTTCTCCTGCAATCGTCGAAACTGATCTGGCCCTTTGTTTCTCAAATCATCTCTACATTTTTAAAAAAGGTTAACACTTCGTTATTTGGGTTCTCACCATAATAAATTATATATTATAGTGTATAAAATTTGCTAAATTATTGAGACCAAATTAGGGGATATGGAAAAAACGAGATGCTCTCGCATTCTTCCAAGTGTTAAACGCCCTCCGATGTGCAAACAGTTCCCGAATACACTCTCGGGATACAGCCAGATCGAAATATAATTTTTAAATATATGAGTTGCACTCATTAGATCCGTACAAAACCACAGTTTATAAGACTAATATATTTTTCAATCGGTATAATACCGCAAACATCGATTGAAAATACATTTCCCTCTCACGAGAAAATTATCATCCAATCGATAAAATAGAAACATCAATTAGAAATAAGTTTTCTCTCACCATAAAATTATTATTATTTAAAATAAAAATATTTTTTTACTAAAAATTATCATCCAATCGGTATGGTATAGATATATATCAATTGAAAACACTGATCTATCTCACGCCATAGAATAAAATAATAATTGTAACAGAAACATGTTACCGGTCAGTATTACAGGAATATCTTCCTCATATCTTAGTGTTGCCAGAATAATGCGCAAGATCGAGAGAACCAAAACAAGAGAGAGATTCTATGTGTTAATTTCCTGTGCAACAAGAACCTTACAGAGCAAAATTGTGAGAGCTTAAGCACACACTAATATACTTCCTGTAATTTACAAAAAAACTCAGACATAAAATTTTGACGCACCTGACTCCTCTTTTCTCGTTGCTTTTCAGGAACAAAATCCTCGTCAATTTATAGATGAGAAGTTACAATTTTTAATTATTAAAAATTATACAATATTATGTATTTTCACATGGTAGCACAATAATATGTAATTTTTAATTATTAAGAGGAAGTGTTAAAATTGTTGAAGCGTATTTTTTAGAAAATATATTAGTTTTTATGTTATTTTATCGTAAGTGATGTAGTGATATTCTACTTGTAAGTTTGCGTGGTAGGAAGTTGTAAAACTACTATGTGGTTAGTAGTTATAGTTACAAGTAGATAATTATTGTAGGAAATATGGTTGTAAAAACGTCTATTTAAAAAGAGGTGTGTGGTAAAAAGTCACATGTTGAAAATTGTAATACATTTGTGTACTCCATGTTTTTCTTTAGTGAATGTTAGTTTTCTTCTACAGGTTCTTGGTTTTTTTTCTCTTTTTTATTTGCTCGAGTCTGGAGCTAGTATGCCATTGTTATCCTAATTGAGAAATGGATTGTTCCGGTGATGTGGAATCCATCATTCTCTACATGGTATCAAAGCCACAAAGGTGGTGGTTATGTGGTCTTGACTCCTTTGATGAAGAAGATCAATTGTCATTTTGAAGATAGATTCGGTGGGAGGTCTAATGGTTTTAATGTTGAGTTGGGAACTCAACTCAAAGTGATCTTTCTGTTTCCCAATTCTTCTTAAGATTTAGAATATTTGTTTGGAGATCTCCCATTGATGCGAAAGAACGTATTTGGAGGCACGAACGAAGTGACTTATCATTCGTGGGTTAAAGATGGAGTATATTCCCAACATTATTTCTATTCAACGGTGGGCTATGCAGTTCTACTTGATAGAATGTGATAATCTCCTTCATGGCCTACTAAATGGCTGGATTGTCAATTTCAGGAAATGATGAAGATGATCGTGTATGCATGGTCTCCTTTATAGAAAATCACTTTAAGAGAGAGAGTTAAAATTGTTAAAATGTATTTTCTAAAAAGTATATTAGTTTTTATATTATTATCATGAGTGACGTAGTAACATTCCACTTGTAAATTTAAGTGGTACGAAGTTATAAAACTACTAAGTAGTTAATAGTTATAGTTAGTTATAGTTACATGTAGGTAGTTATTGTAGAAAATATTGTTGCAAAACCCTCCATTTAAAGAGGTGTGTGGTGAGAAAATTGAGTATCATATTGAAGATTAATCTTAGGTGACAAGATTATAATGTCTTTATATACCTTAAAACACATGTGTTAGTTTTTTTCCACCTCTTCTAGGTTGGTTTTTTGTTTTTTTATTTGCTGAGTCTTAGGCTAAGCTAGTATGACATTCCAACTATTTGCGAAACGGATTGTTACCAACTTCCGTCTTTCTCTACGAGACGCAACTAATACGTTGTGAAACCATACTAAGTGGACTATATTATTTACAGTGATCTTGCGTGCATTATTCATATTGTCTCGTAGAGTTACTATTCATTAGCACATTACTGTTCCATTGCACATTATTATTCACAATACTATTTATTTACACAGTATCATTCGGACCTCACAACCACAAGCTTATACAGTCCAAAAACTATTATTTTAAAGCACAACAAGCCAAAAAGCAAACCGACACCTAAAGTAATACACCTCAAATATCCACCATTACCTCAAGTAACACACCCCAAATATCCACCATTCTGACATTGCTTCTCACCCCTCCCAAAAGCCTTGTGAGCCTCTCCTAATTGCCGATAGAGAGAGAGAGAGAGATCATTTCACTTCTCATTCTTATTGTCCTCCTCCTTGTTTGTAGAGAGAGAAAGGTCTAGCTTGGACCTAGTCTCCTGATCAAGCACCTCAAGAAAGAGAGGGTCGACCACCACATTGCTGTCCACATGGATAACAAATGGGTGCTTCCATATAAGCAATTGAGCCTCGCCTTCAATTCTAACCACTGCCTTTAGCTCCATCTCTCTCCTAATGACGTCCCGCATGAGCCTAGCCAGGCGGTGGGTGAGCTTGAGCCCGTCGAGCTGGGCCCATAGCTGAAGGGTTCGAACTGATCGAGCCGGTTGTGAGCCTGCCGCGACTTTGGCTTGGCCTAGAAGGGTATCATCACAATATATGGACATTGTGGAAGGTGAATACGTGACGGGGACGAGGTTGGGGTTGGTGACGGAGACAGTGAGGGTGAGTTCAAGGTCGAGGACTGGGATGGGAGGAATGGGAGTGGTGGGGAAGCCAACGTGGAGAGAGGATAGAGAAATTGAGAGGAGAGAGAGCGTGGGGTCTCGAGGGCGGGCCGCAATGGCCAAGGCAACGACGGCAGCGGTGGTAGTGCCGATTGCGATTGTCCAGCCTATGGTCGCATCCATGGAGTCTCTCTTTACACTTCTGTCTCTCCCTTGGGGAATTGGTAAGCTTGAATTTTGAGAAATTGCGAATCCCTCTCTACGTCTGTCGATCTAGGAATTGGGAAGAGGCTTCATCTCTCTTTGGGGTAGTTCAAGGGACCTGTCGTTTCTCTCTCAGG